TATACTTTTAAGGTTTCTTGGTAAGAAGTGACATGTCGCTTCTACAGAGTTCAGGAGTTCAATATAAAAAAATATAAGTACTTCAACAGAAGATAAAATACTAAAATACTATGTATTGGTGGATCTCAGACACAAGGCACCAGAGCTTCAAACTTAAACGCTATCAGTGAAAAGACTTGAACTTCTAGTTTCTACATTTTTTTAATTAGAATTAAAAAAGAAAAAAGGCAGAAAATATGAAAGTCAAAGACTTTTCAGCTGTTGAAGAGTAGGAAAAAGCTTTTAACACTTCACTGGAACATCCAACTCCAGCAGGAAGCAGCTGCCCCAGCAGGAGCATAATTTGAGAGGGCAAACATTTATTTGAAAGTTGCAGTGCCCATAGTGAACATCAAGCTCCAAAGGAAAAACTATGATTTAGGCCAAGCTGTGTTCACCAAGCCCGAACTGAACTCATGTGAAGTTTGGAACAGTCAGAACTGGCATGTTTTGGATCATACCAGCTCACACCCTGTAGAAAGCCCACTACTGCACTGGAGAGGTGCCGATGAATGGCAGTGCTGACCACAACCAGACCACAGCACGGAAAACAGAATCCGAGTCCTCGTCATCCTTTCCCTGCTCTTGTCCTCACTGTTTTCACACTTATAAAAATCTATGGCTAGGCAAGACCATGTGGCAGTCAAAGGCTGCAGCACACAGATAAGCAGCAGGCAGGCTGTTGGGTGTTCTCAGTGCATCTGCAGCCTCCTGTAAGACTTGCATTTGACATCCATCTCCCCATTGTCAAGTCATATTTATCTCAGTTTTCAGGAAACGTGAGATGACTCATCTACCGGAACATCTGATGAAGTTAACTTCAAAAATTAATTCTACGTAAGCCTATTTTTCCAAGAAAAAAAAACAAACAAAAAACACAACAGACAAAAAAGAAAAATATTTTTAAATTATGCTACAAATCAAATTTCTGTGCAAACCAGTTTTCTCATTCAGAAATTCAAGAACTTATTTTTGCTATAGACAGTTTAACAGGCTTTTAGGCATCCGAATTTAGGAAAAAAATCCTACAGCATTTAAACAACGCAGAGCCAGAGCTGGAGCTGACTCAGCCACTCCAGTCCACAATTTGAATATACTACATAATCATTCTTGTTTTAAAATTATCCTCCTAATATCTAAGGGTTAGATTATCCCACATACATTCATCTTGATTAATGCACTACCCTAAAGACAGCCTTGCAGATTCCATTAGGACTAATTAGGAAGCAGGGTATGCAACAGCAGGATGATACAATCTTGCTCCGATTGACATGGCCCTGACCTCTTCCTTGCACTCCCTTCCTAAGGTCACAGAATGCATGTGTCTTTCCTTTTCTCCCCCCCACGCTCCTAATTAACATGTAACAATTGCTGCTTGTTACCAATTCAGAATTAAGAAAGAACCCGTGAGGTGCACATGCGGGACATGCTTCCCAACATATGCACGTGTCCAGAGATCAACATGGCAATGGCACACTTCCACAAAGCAGCCCTTGCAAATGTCAGCGACAGGACCTGTGGGTGGCAACATGGCACAGAAGAGAGATTCTCTGGAGTAAATGCCCTTTTTGCTCTAGACCTACGCATACAGTTTTTGCTTTCATTTCACGCAGAGGGATAAAATTAAAAATAGAAAATATATATTTATACATATATTTTACCCAAGCTGAAAGTTCCACTTCTGAAACCTGTTTCTGCCTCTGACAAGCAGGCTGAATGAGCAGTATTTGCCCATGATTGGCTGTGCACTCTGTGTGCTCCGTCCCTGCACAACACCCGCAGAGGACACCCGGGACAGAGGCCAAAGTCTGGCGGGGCAGAGCTGAAGGGTAATGCCATTTCATGGGGTCCCCACAGAAAGTATTTGCTTTGCCTGTTTATGTTCTAAATATAGCAGAGCACACTGGCCATCTCTAGATCGCAAGCAAGTATTCCCTACCAGGGCTGCAGCTCTCTGCAGCGCTAACACACACCTGCCTGATATCTGTTAATATAATTATTTTTTTCTTAAACACACTAATTCTTGGGAGCGCTGTGAGTGAAAGATGCATCCACAGTCTGCAAAGAAAAATTCAGTGACTAAATATCTGTCTTATGACCAAGAGATAATGCAAGATTAGCTGTTTAGTTAATACTAATACTACATATATCTATACGAAATCAAGTATTTAATATTAAGGTCAATTTCAGGTGTGCTGCTGTTTTAGTAAAGAACAAGGACATTACATCCACACTGAATTATTGAAATATTTAATATTACTTTTGAATGTCGTAACAGTTTACCAAATTAAAAAAAAAGGGGCTGGTTAACTGACCTTACAGGGTTTAGACAAATCTGGTAGAACATTTCCCTACATTGTCTTTGCATTAAAGTTTGTGATACTGCAGAAAGCATGAAGTAACTAGTGACTGTTTACTTTTGCAGACAGAAAAATTGATGAAGATCTGAAACAAAACCAAAACTGATCAACTGCTTTTCCACTACGGGGATTGTACATGGAATTCACTGAAGGGATATAGTCCATTTTCTGTTATCAAATGTATTCTCATACATTATACAAGCTACTTAACTAAAAAAAAAAAAAAAAAAAAAAAGAACTAATAAACCCTGAGAGCTCAAGAGCCATCTGATGACCATAGCCATAACGCCTGGCCACGGTGCAGCACCATGCTCAGCAGCAAGCAGCTCTTACAGCTCTGGCAGCACCAGCAGCAGCACAACCCAGCACTGCTACCCAGGCCGTGTCAAGAGGACCCATCAGATCCCTTCTGGCACATGGCACCACAGACACAAGTAAACCTTTCAGCATGAACACAAGTAAACATATCTGGTAAGCAGGGTATTTTTAAATAGCAGATTCTTTCCCAGCTTACAACTCAGCTACTGCGCTGACTTTCCATGTGCAGTAGGAGTCAGCAGCATAATACTGCTGTAGTGTTACCTACAAGTATTATCCATGGACCTTGCAGTTCTTTACAAAGGTGATGATTATATCATTCATTACAAAAGGAAACAGAAGAGCCCTGCTGATGGAGGTCCTGTGCCACAGGCCACCTTGTCCAGCACAAAGATTTTAAGGCACTTCCAGCAACCAAGGACATCAGAAATCTGGGCAGAGAACGCTGATGTACAGCAAACTCAGGGAGTGTCTCCCACAGCAAAGCAGATTCATGTCCAGTTAACTCTACTGTCTTGTTTTAACCTTTTCAGTGGGATCTTCACTCTGATAAGCACAAGGCCAGCGGGGTGAGGCTGCCATGACCACAGCGTGCCCTGCAACCAAACAGCAGTTCAGTGGAAAATCAAACTGGGGCATCCTGCAGGTGCTATCTTACCCAGCAAATGCATCACTCACAGCCTCTCACAGAGAGGCAGGTTTAAATCTCCAAGGCCAGGCCCATGTTTCTGGCAGGTGTGCCGCCACAGGGGCAGCGCTGCAGCAGGCCATGAAGCCACCAATGACAGTGACAGCACACCATGGCTCACGCCATTGCTCACACCATGCTTTGCCACAAAGAGGAAGTGCCAGGAGGGCTCGCTGCCACCCAGGCACAGTGGCTGTGGCGGACAGAGATGGTGGGCCAAGGGGCTGAGACTCCCTGTCAGCACAGGCAGCCCCTGGCACAGCTCATGACCCGACAGGTTTTTAATGCACAGAAACCTTTTATTTCCACATTTGAAATTATTTTTTATTCCTCTCTCCCTCCCCCACCCCCACATTGTAAGTCCTGTAGTTTTAAAACACATTTGAACAACACAGAAACAGAAGCATTTTAATATCCACTGGAGGGGGGGTGCTGGGTATTTGCGCCTGAGAGCATTTTAAAGGTTTACCCTCTACTCTGATCTGAGACAAGAAACATTTTTAAACTCAGGAGTGCTGCAGGATTTATACAAACCCGCTATAAACCTGCTTCCTGCTCAGCTCCCACTGCAACTGGGGCCTGGCTGCACAAGCAACCTCCAGTAGCTGGTTACAGCTACAACTCCCGTCCCAGAGCATGTCTCTACCACGAGGCAACTCCACACACTCAAGCTCTGCTCCGCTTCCCGGGTTTGGTCCCAGGAAGAGAAAATTATACTGTAAAAATCAGTCTGTCAGTTGTTTTTTTTCTATCTTCCAACTTTTATTATTTTTTTCATGACTGTACTGAATTTATCATGCACTGTTTGTGGGATGAGTATTTAAATGTTAAGATGATTGAATTCATAAAAGAAGAAGAGAAGGTGCTGGCATCCAGATGTTTAACACCTATTAATGAAACTACAGCCACAGTAAGACAGGAGCTATACATTTACAGTGCCGAACTCAGATGCCCCTCCTAAAAAGCACTGTGAGGCTGTACCCTCTCTGCCACAGCCCTGCTTGCACGTCTAGAGGCACCCTGCCCTCTGCTAAGCATCATCCTCGCCTTAAGCAAGTGCACTTGTGAAAATGACAGAATAACTATAGCAGTCCCAATCACAGAAATACAAGCAGGGTGCTCACAGGCACCCAAATAACCTAGGGAGGAAACACTCTTCTAAGATTCACCATCAGCTGTCCAGAGACACCAACCACCCGCTGGTAGTTACGAGATGAAAACAAATCCACATATTGCTTACGTGGTTTGTGCTATTAAAAACAAAGAATCCTTACAGTGACTTTGCTGTTTCTACGTAAAGCGCCCTTTATTCCAGCTACAGGCAGAGAATAATTTGGAGGCAAAGAACCAGTTAGTGTAGCCATGCCAGAGGATTTGAGCCCTGTCAGGTATATTTTCCCTTCATCCCCCTATCCTTCCCTTTCCCCTGAGGAAAACAGCAAAACAAATCAACAAGCATCAATAAAATAAACGCAGCAAAACGGCCCACTGCTGGCAGCCAGCAATTGCTCCCTTTTGGGCTGCAGGGTTTCTCTGGCTACAACCGCTTCTTTCAACAACTGTATATCCTTGAAAATAATATAGTATTTACTCACTTTCAATGAATCAAAGCAGGCGATTACGCGTCCATTTTCAACTTGGCAGCTTTTCGATGGGTGTGCAAATTTACATTCCGTGTCTGGTCGTGAGCAAGTCCCCCTTTGGAACTCCCTACACACTTCCAGCGTTAGCCATTTTGTGTCCCGAATCGGTGTGACACTAACAGCCATCTTTAGATTTTACAGGTAGTTAAAAATTTCCAATAAAACGGACGAATGAGTAGCAGAACTGATAACCTGGAAATGATCAAAGCACCACCTCCAGAACACTTTTACTCCCCCACCCCCCCCCCGTTCCCTATTTTAAAAGTACATGTAAAACTGGGTAGCTGCAATCTCAAGGAGAAGGTGTGCCACCGGGAGTTCAGCGCGTGACACTGTTAACGGACAGAGGCTTCGCACTTAGAGAAGCGCTCGGATTACCGGCGAGGTGAACGTTAGGAAGAGTGGCCCGGGACTAGCCTCGCGCGCTCAGTGGCCCATCCTGAGCGCCAGCCGGAGCCCACGACGCACGCATGGGAACGTGGCAGACCCTCCGACACGGGATTTCCGAGCTCTGTCAGTGAAGTTGTCTGAAAGGTAATCTCCTCGCAGATGGGTTTGCAGCGGGGGGTTGTGGTGCAATCGGTATCGATTAGTTTGGCATAGATGCAGCAATTTAGAGCAACGATCGAGACGGGATTTTTTTTTTTTTTCCTCCTCCTCTCCTTGATTTTCGGCAGCAGAGCTCTGACCTTCTCAGCAAACTTTTATTTTTACAGTAAAGCAGCCTGCGGCAAGGCCCGGCAGCGCCCTCCTCCCGGCGGGGCGGCAGCGGGTGGCTGCCCGGGGTCGCTCTCCTCGCGGTCTAGCTGGCAGCAAGCAAGGCAAAAAGCAGCGGCTGCTCTAGAAGCGGTCCCAAGCAGCAGAGACGTCAGGAAAGGCACTTCTTAGTACCGACCTGCAGAGAGAAGAGACACGTTACAATTCGCCGGGCGGCACGGGGGCCCGCGGAGGTGCCGCCGCCAGCGCAGGGCACTCACGCCAGCGCCGCCGGGCTGCGGGGAGAGGGGCCGCGTCCCCGGCAGAGCCAGGCATGACCGGGAACGAGCCAATGGCAGCGAGCGTTGCAGCGATACTCCGGGCGGAAAGCCAATAGCGGGGGCCGTCTTATAAAAGGTCGCGCCTGCCAGACGCTGCGCTGCCCTGAGCGCCGAGCGCGCCCGGCCGCCGGGGCTCGCCCGGCCGCCGGAGGACGAGCGGGCGGGCTCGGGCCCTACCCGGCATGCAGCGAGGGGGGCGGCCCATCGCGGCGGCGCGGGGAACGGTGCCGCCCGCCGCCTGCGCGCCGCCAACCCCCCTTCCCCTCCGCCTGCCACAGGTACAGGCTCCCCGCACGGAAGCGGCGCGACCGGTAGGACGCAGAGGGGCGGGCGCGCCGCCCCGCCGGGAGCTGTCACAACGCCCCGTTACGGTGCGGCTGTCACCGCCCGGGGGCTGGCGGGGGCGCGGCCCCTCCGCTCCCGCGGGCCTCTCCTAAGGACAGACCCCAAAACGGCGCCTGCCGCCGGGGCCGGCTCGGGCCCGATGCCGCTGCTGGCTGCCCGAGACAGCCATCGTGCTGGTCAGTCACTGATAGCCGCCCGGGGTCTCCGCAAACCGGCCCGGACCCGTGCTCACCCGAGACCCCGGGAACGCCGTGCCTGCACCCGCGTGACCGGCCCCTCCAGCTGGGACCGGACCTCGCTTCCTCCCTCAGCCATGGGGAACCACAAGCTTCGTGACGAGCTCTGTTCACTTTAAAACCACCCAGGCATGTAACAGCTAGGAACGAGACGGTAAACCTCTCCGTTCAGATGCCAAGGTGAAACCATTGTTTCTTCGAGACGAGTTCCAGACACCCAGCTATGCCACAGAAGTCTGGGGACACGAGTAAATAGAACTCTGTAGTAAAGGATAGCTCCTGGTCCAGCACGGAGATCCTGGAAAAGCAGAGGAGCCTTTGTGGCAGCACCACATGTGCTTCTGGGGGAACATTGGAGCCCCTGGGCAATACAGACAATAGGAATGCTCCCAGCAGCACTGCAACTATCCACAGCTTCCTGCCCACCTGCGTTCAGAAGGTTGTTTCCATCCCTGTCTTTCTAAAGACACTGATCCACAATCTTTGTATTTCTCACCACCATCACCTGCCAAAGCAGCATCCCTCTCATCAGGAACATATCCTGGGAAATGCTGGTCAGCATGGATGCACACCAATAGACAATGAAAATCTACTAAGGGTCTTTTTCCCGGGGCTAAGTGATTAGAACAAACTACAGGAGAAGTAAAGCACACCTAATACAGCTAATAAGATTGTAACAGGTACTGTTGTTTCCTTGCCAGGGCACTTTGTAATCATGCCTACATTTTTCATTCCTGCTAGCAAGAGACAAACAACTGTGCATAATTACTTGCAAGCACAAGTTAACAGCTAGGTATGTTTCTGGTAAACACAGATACTTACTTGCTTCAACTGCCTAACCCTCAGGAATCAGACTCATCCTGTGCCAGCAGTCACTACTGATCAGTGCTCAGGACTACAGCAGAGACTCGGGTATTGAAAAACTCCTTCTGTAACAAGTGCTCAGACAAACAAGTGAGGGTCTCCCACCTGTGCCGGGGCACCTGCCATGAAGGGCCAGCACCAAGCAGACCACTACCAAGCACCGATTTCTCCAAACACCAAGAGAGCAGCAAACAATGTATTTTACATGCTAAAGCCAATGCAAGTTAAAGGCCACATTTTCAGAAGAAGATACTTAATTTCATTCTCATTACAAGAGTAGTTGGTCACCCCTAACAAGGAAAGAAGGACAGCATGTAGGCAACGCACAAAATGAACACAGATGAAAACTATCTTTTGTGCTCACATGTAGTGAAAGGAGTAATATTCCTGGTACAACTCACCAAACTAGATTTTACTCCTAGCTTTGTAGTAAATTTTCTATTTGGAATTGGACTAGCCACCTACTCAGAGCAAAGTCCTGCTCCTGTTGAGGTTAGTGACATATCTGTAACAACATTACATGAGGCTGAATTTCATCCCTCGTTCTTCAGGCTGCCAGCTACAAACAGAAAGGTTACTCCAAGGAGCTGCAATGCCTCAAAGAGAAATCTTCTCAATGTGAAGAAATGTTAGGTGTATATTTTGTCTGCATAGTTACTTGAAGAAAAATTGTTTGGTCAGAATTTGTTACCTAAAAACAGAGCAGAAATGTCAGCTTTAAAAATAGCCTTTTAGCAAAAACAAAGACTGACTTCAGACCAGAGGTACATCTTCTTCAGTACCTCCACTAAATAATTTTTATTTAGTTAGCATAGAAATACAGTTAGGTTAGCATAGAAATACAGTTTTATCTGCATAAACTACTTTCCCCTAGCTTTGAAATTCTCCTGTGATGTTCCAGCTCCCCAGTAAGCCTCAAATGCTAAAGGATTCCCCTGTCTGCAAGAAAACCCAGCAGATATAAGTGATGTCTTTCTGTGGCTGTCTCTGATAAGCTGGGAAAGACTGCAACAAACCCAGAGGGAGGAACCCTGGTGAGAGACAGGAAAAGGACTGTCTTCATTTTTTTTTTTAATTAAAATTTATTTAGGGGCTGACAGTTTCCAGATTCCACCTCGCAGGCCATTCAGTACCAAAGGCTGTTCTTAATCGACAGGTGATTTTTTAAGCTACCTTTTGAAATTTGGAAGTATTCACTACTTGTCCTGGGAATGCTGCAACATTGGCTTGGCCAGAGAAAAATCCTGCCTTCACAAATAATTAGGAATACAAGGGAAATGAAGCTAAAGATATTGAAAACTTATTAAAATGTGATTCTCGGAAAAGACAAAAGAGAGAAATAACAATGAAAAGTCATTCCTTAAAAGGTTAAGAGATGACAGTTGTCTGCTGAGCTGCGTTAATGAAAATCATTTAGAAACAGCTTTGCAAATCAATGGAAAGGTTATCTGGAAATGCACAAGAAAGTGAAACTAACACAGAAAGGACCATGTGATTAAGGTTTCCCGGTTCTGATTAAATACATTCAACTTTTATTACTTCCCATTGCTGCTATAAAGAAATGTACAGCCAGGTTAGCGACACCATTTTCTTCCCCTTCTCATTACAGTCTTAGACACAAACCCAACGTCTCTGAATGGGAGTGCCCCACTGCTCTGGGACTCCCCCGAAGATCCACTGCTTTCACTCTTCCTGTATCTGGGTTTACTGGATATTCCTGTTTTCATATGTCAATTCACACACATCTCTTGGGAAGAAAGATGCGTAAAGCTGGACATGCAAAAAGCACAATATTAAAGAAGAACACAGCAGTGCAGAATGCTATTTTTACTCTCGGAGAAAGTGGAAGCTGAAAATACCAGCCTCAGTGACATGAGAACTGTCAGCAAGAACCAGTCGTTACACAACATGAATTCATCCTCATGACAATGACTCCAGTGAGATAGGAAATGGAGTAAAATCAATATTCCATTTACATTGACAGTACAGTATCAAAGCTTGAAATTGCCAAATGGCTGTCTTTTAAATAAATTAGAAAATTACTGTCTGCCTTACCGTATTTTTTAAAACACCTCTGCCAAATTCAGAGTTTACTAATAACATATCTCAACATAAAATTTGGAGACGTTTCAGCAATTACTTCATGGCGCAACTAAGGGATGTAATTAGAGAGCTGTCACAAAATTAAGCAGAAACAATGAGCTAATTAACATATTGGCCACGTAACAGTGAAGGATTCCTTAAAGAAAAAACTGGTCTGGTACCCACCATCCCCATACAACGGCACGTAAAAGCAAGAAAACTCCTCTCTCAAATTTGTACTTTGGCACATATTGTGAAAAGCAGAGCACCAAGGCAGCAGCACAGAACGGCCATCTCAGAAGTGGGAATGCCAATACTGCACCATGCAACACATGTTTCACAGCCCCCCTGCCCAGCAACTTCTGACTTAAACCAAGTCTGTTATCAGCACTGAACTACTGAGCAAGTCCCAAACTGGATTTGTAAAAAAACTGTCAACATCACTTCTATGACACAGGTACTTCACATAATATTCATAGTTTTAGTAGCAGTAGTACTAGTAGTAGTGTTTTAAAGGTTATTTCTCTATTATGTTAGCTCTGACAAAGTTGCTTGGGAAGGCAGTGCAACCTCCCACCGACTTCAGTGGGCTGCTTAGGCACATCCCCATCAGGCATGTGTTTATCTTGAGTATATTTCACAGTTTCTGAAACTATTTTAGCAGAAACACCTAACTGTGACATTACATTGGAATTTAACACATCCAAGCATACTCAGTTCATGAAAACCAGATAAATAATGAAAAAAAGAAGCAACGTCATAAAGTCAGCGCCCCTAGCTGTGCATGTTACAGCAACAGGCAGAAAATAAGGTTATTTCCTTGAAATCAATTCTGTGAAATTCACATCTGTAACCAAACTGTGACCTAATTCCCAACACCAGTGGTAAGGCCACTGATGTACAAATCCCACAGCTCAATCCTTTCTCACTTTAGATTACAGTACTGCTATTTCCAACTTAGAAGGTTATACCGCAAATGCTATAAACCCTCTTTCCTTTAAAGAGCAGTTATGAATTAACTGCTCTTACCGTAAAAAAACTTTGAAGTCAAGAAATATGCCTGTTGAATTTATTTTTTTTATTTTAGAACCAATGCTATAGATCAATCTCCTATACAAAATTTGGGATGCCAGACATGCAGAATTCACATTATCTGACAGCATCGGATGGATGTGTATTTATAAACTAAAACAGGGAAAGGCCAGTGTCTGTCTCTTGACTAGGACAATGCATACACCAGCTATTATTTTGCTCCCTCAACCTGAAAGCCAGTGACACAAAAAGGGCATTTAATTCATTTTGTTGTTCATTTATGTATTACAAAGCATTCA